AACTAGTTCATCGAGTTTCCTTTAATCGATTTACTTGTAAAGTTGTGGATGACTGGAACACTCGGTTTTTATCATACAGTACTACCTTCGCGGCTTATTTAAAGCTTTTAAAATATTTAAATTTAATATTGATCAATGCTGCTTCTATCCCCCTTATCAAATGATAAAAATAGTAGGAATATACTGCACACTAAAAAATCGATGTCGTCCCAAGCAAAAGCACAACTATTCCTTAATTTAGTGATAAATTCACTTCTAACCATAGAATCGGGTCATATCATGCAATAACTAATCATATCATTCTTTAATACAAACCTTTTCCAATGTTCCACACTTGATTGATTTATGCGTAATGCTTCTCGAAGGTAAGCGATTAGGATAATTGCTGGAACATGGTTCACTGCCAACAATTTTAGGAACTGCAAAATAGACATGAACTTTCATCTCAAAAATAGAAAATACAAAGCACTAAGAGAAAAATCCTAAATCGTATGAAGATGTATACACTCTGGTATAGCGAATAAAAAAAGCCGTCGCAGAATGTTTCAAAGAATAATGTACAGCTTATTCTTATTTGAAAAAAGGATTATACAGTTTTTAGTTCAAATTTTGTCAATTTAAAATTGCTAACTGGTTTTTAAGACGAAATTTACCTAAATGAAAATTCGTATCAGTGTCAATTTCTTCATTTGATTTATGTGAATATAAGTGTCCAGTAGCTTGAAGTTCTTGAGCTATTGTTTGCACCGACATTCGTTTTTCGGTAATCTTATTACGTACGCTTAATGTTGACCAAACCGCACTTGATTTACTATTCTCATCGCTGATACTATCATCCGGTTTTGCCTAAGCAGCAAAATTCTTTTATCTTTAACGAATGTTACATAAAACCTATCAGAATTCTACCCTGATTTTCATATGAAAAATTGTTTTCGAAATTATACGGAAATGGTAGGATCAAACAGTTATATGAACATTTTGGGATTATCACATACTCATCTGATGAACAACAGTTTATTATGACTGTCTCATTTTTTATTTGCTTACATACTAATAATAACTGTTACTTGAACTGAACTACAAGTGGAATGCACAATATTATACTACAATCACCAAACACTCACGAAACAAACAGCAGATATAGTCGAATGAGGTTCAGAGCATGATGCTGAAATATCATCTTTTGATCCCGCTTCATTATGTAGCGAAATATTTTGTTGATTGCTTAAACCATTTAGCACATTGATAACTTCCAGAGGCGGTTTTAGAAAGCGTGGTGGTTTCCAGTGGCAATCACCCGTTTCATGGTTATAAAAGTAAGACCTGCAAGAAAACAAAAACTTTAGATATGATTTTCATTTCAAGCTCCGATATCTCATCCTAAATCTCTATATGTCAACATATATTGGTATTCTTTGATCTAACAGTAACGATATTTTTCAGAACCACTCCCAAAATCGATCTTGTTCATAAAATTTTAATCGTTTCATTTGTAAGAATGTCAAACCTTCCGGCATCTGTGAGATACTCAGACCAACCGCTCCCAACATCGCGAATTGCTTCATCAGTGGAACCTGGAATGGGTGGCTTCCCTTGTCGTCGACTTTCTTCTTCCATTTCTTGAACATTCGCATAGATATGCTCATCATCATTTGTTGATCCTTCTTCGGTGATACTTCGTGAGTCATTCATCTTTTCTTGATCAAACTGAGAGAATAGAAAGAATAATAGCTTCATTTGCAAATCATGAGAAATCCCTTTTTTTTTTCAAAAATTAATAAAATCCCCTCTACAAAACTAGTTGAAAATTTGTAGAAATCCAAATTATCATATGGAACTTAATTAAAAAACAAAAAACAGAAGCAATTCTGTTCCCGAAAAACGAATATGAATCCAATCATGCAAAAAAAGTTTGACTTCGTTATTCTCATTCTCTTACAAAAAAAGTCTCATTTTCTTAATTAACAAGTAGAAATATAATCGTTATCAGACAAAAAAAAGAAATGCGATCTCAGCTAATTAAGTTCATCCGTTGCAAAAAAAATTGAGCTTATTCGCAATTTTTTTTTCCTCTACAGCCTCTTAATTCTAATTCATTAATATTATCCGCCTTATAATAACTTGAAATTTCATCCAAATAATCAGTTCATAATATACAAACACTCGCCAATGATATCAAATTATACTACATTATATAAATTCGGTTATTTGAAATCTTTCCGCAAATCACAAATTACAACCGTGAATCATAAATCAATCGTAACTTCTCTACTAATGAACTATATAAAATAATGAACTGTTTGAGACAAATACCGCATAATACCTAAGTTATCTAATTGTAAAATTTCATTTAGCTTAAAATTATTCGTATATGATATGAAATTTTTTAAATTAAAATATTGTAATTTAATATGTTGATTTTTTTTTTCTTAAAACATACTTGACTGATGGCATCATCAAACAATAAATTTTGCTGCAAATTAGCACTGTAAATGCCACTCGTCATTCGGATATTCCAACTAATTTCCGTTAACCGATGGTGAGCATAGCATTCACACAACTCCTACAATAACAAATAAGCTGTGAAATCCTATGGAGAAATATCTCCACACTCACAAGAATACCACCGCACTCCGTGATCTTCCTCAACCAACACTGAACGAAGAAATCCTCGACAAAACTACGTGTATAATGTGATAAGAACAAATGCGGTCCGCTCAAATATAACAAACTTCTCGCGGCCGTTCTGAAATTTCTCGTAATTTCAACTTCTCCACTTATTGACAGCTTTGCTGGAATTTAAAGGTAAAAATCATTTACTTTAGTGAGTTTTTATAAGAAATTTCTTTCATGAACAAATTTTTTTCAGTATTTTCATTTAGTTTTTTTTTTTTTTTTGTGGGATTTCTTCTTACTCTTTTTTTTTCTTATTTATTGGTATTGGTTATCGTTTTTTAGAATCGATAGAATTTTGAAATTATCTGCGACTGAGAATTTCTGTTATCAACAACTTCCCTATAAGGACATCCATCTTCAGTAGTGCATGAACTTTCGAAATAACATTTCTCCCTCCTTCTGATAACGATGAAAAAGAGGAAAAAAAAAGTACCTGAGGGAATTAAAAAATTGATTTTTATGTTTATTTTCATCATTTTATCTTCTTAATGGAAAAAGGACATTTTTTTTTTTCAGTTCTTGAAATGGCATCACTGTTAACTGTTATGACGAAATTTTTTTGTTGGGAATTTATTTCTTGGAAATTTTTTTGATATGTTGAAACAAATATGACCAGTTTTATTCCAGTTAATATTTTGTAGAATGAAGGATCAAAGTAGCAAAAGTTCATGGTATCATTTTTTCTTGATAAGTGTTTTTTTCTTTTCTCTTCCTCTTTCTTTCCTTCTTCCTCTCTTTGTCTCTCTCCTTCTCTTCCTCTGTTCTGTACCAGAACGAGCAAAGAAATTTTCCTCTCAGTTCTTTATGGAAGATGAAATTTTATTAAATTACATGAAAAACTGATAGTATTATTACTTGCTAATAGTTTTTCGTCATATAGTAAACTGTCTGTTTTGAATTTCGATAATTGATTACTGGAAATACTTTTCGTTGATGTCATTTCAAAAAAAAAAAAATGGAATTAATACTTACGATAGTGCTTTCTTCTTACAGCATTTCCTAATAACATTCAGAATTTTATATATTTCCAATTTAATTTTGTTTTTTACTCAAATGCATGATCTATATAGCAATTACTAATAGTTTGATCAGTTTAAGTAATCAATGCAAGTAACAATCAGATATGCAGGAAGGAATTCGAACGATGGTGAGGAAGAAAAAATATGCAATTCGATTGATTTATAAATCATCTCTCTTTACAAAATGTTTTATACTTTCACTCATCCTTTCCTCCATTAAAAAAAAAAACCTGAAATTCAACTATTTATGACATACCTCATTAATAGCTGCAGGCATATTTATTACGCGTCCTTTTCATTTTATTAGCTATTCATGCTATATAAACTGGTTTTTTTTTTTAACATAAATTGCTTTCTAAAACTTTCGTTAATTACAATCATTCGATCATTTGATTTTTCGACTGAAATGTTTAGATTTTTGAATTCTGCCAGTTCATGTTAGTGTTGCGCGATTAATTTTCATTAAAGTATTGTTTTTTTATCATCAATCTTGATTAAACTTATTTAATTCTCATTAAAAGCTTATTATGGATATGTTTAAGGAGATAAATATAATTTATAAATAATCGACTGATAATTATCAATTATGAAAAATTATGCAACTGCGCATACTAGTAATTATATCACTTCAAGCATTTCATTTATCCTCGTTTCATTCTACACTAATTTTTATCATTATTGTAAAATCATTTGTAATTTTTATTCTTCTATCTTCTCAATTAATAACCCAGGAAGAAAATCGAAAGTCCTGATTGAAATTTGTAACATTAAGTTAAAATTTAAAATTTTAAGTCCTGTTTTTAGGTCTTCTTTTCGACGTGATTTCCTGTTACTGTTGTTGTTTGCTATCGACATTTGATTTTTGTGCGGAGAAAATTTTGAACTTCTCATGGAAAATTTATGCTCTTTTGAAATGTGAAAATTTTTTTTTGATGTTCAATATCTTGCTGAATTAATCATTTTCATCTCTAATGGAATTCAGAATTTTTTTATCCAATAAATTTAACACATACAGCAAGTATTTCTATATAGGTTTTCTATATAAGCAAATTCAAGTCCTTAATTATTCTATCCCATAAACATCTAAGATTGCTTCTAAAACTTTTCGTGCTAACTTACTTGACATCTCATATTTAATGTTAAGAATGTTTTTTTTTTTCTAAGTAAGCTAATTTGAAAAAGCCATTTTCTTACGCGCGACATTGTTTACCCACGTAATATCATTTACATAAATGGCTAATGTTTCAGTTTTCTTCTTTCAGGTTGATTGATAATATGGAATTAGTTGATTTTTTGAATCAGCAAATGGATAATGAGCTTTTGACAAGTGATATGAAAGGAATGACATCTCACTCATTGGCTATACAAGATAAATTACGTGAGCAAGGAGACATCTGTCAGACAGTTGCATCAAATGATGATGAAAAAGGTTATTATTAGATTTTGACATTTCAAAATTTTTAACGAAATTTTAATTAAAATCGAGCATGATGCAGTGATTAGGTAGAATGAAAGTTATTGATTGATCTAAGGGATCGACAATTAGTATGGGTTTTAATTAAATGCTGTTTAAAATAGATTAATCTGAAGTAATGATGTTTGGTACATGTGGAATAGCCTAGTAGTGCCAGCAATATTTTATGCAGAATTGCTTATTTATGGTACTATTTTTATTGAAAAGTCATTCGAACTTTAAACTCTGCAATAATTGTTGAATTCGACTCATTGATTTTAACATTATATTTCATTCATTAATAAAATAAAATATGGGAGAGGTTAATGACATTTTATTTAACTTAATATTAGTGGCTTCAGTTTTTTCCTCATTATTATTCAATAGAAATTTTAGAAAGTAGGAGGGAAAAAAGAAAATTCATCAAATTATTCCGTGGATTTTATTTGGAAATTTTTATGGAAAAAAAGTAATATGGAAATTATTGCGATTTTAAAAAGATGATAGTTGATCTTTAATTTGCTATCTAAATTATGGAATATCACACTTAGCATATCACCGTAGTTTAAAGAAAATGGTTTAAAAAAATTTGGATGCTTCTTTGAAAAATTTCTAACAAAATTCATCTCCACACATATTACTCTTACAAATATTTTAGTATTTACCATTAAAGTGCTGGTAATTTAGTCATTTATTTCTTTCAGTACCTTTTTTCTCCAACTTCTTGATCTCATATCTTGACATTATGTTCTTTTCCCATATCAAAACCTAGTTTTTTTTTCCCGTGAAAAATGTTTACATTTCTTTCTTCAGGAAGTGAAAAATATTCGAATAAAAGTTCAATAACCTCCAAATTTCAAGAAGCATTAATTGAAATCAAAGGGATGACATGTCATTCATGTGTAAATAATATTGAAGAGACTATTGGAAGAAATGATGGCATAAAATCAATCTCTGTTTCACTTAGTAAATCTGAAGGTTAATTATTACGATTTTTTAAATGAAAAAAATTTTCTTGAGTGTTCAGCAATAACTAACTCAAATTAAGAACGGTTTAGTTTCACTTGATCCTGAAATCTGAGAGAATGTTTGAAAAATGGAAACATTGCGAGGTTAAGCTAATCCATTGCTGAATGAAGCATTTTATGCTTTTCCTTTTTTGTCCCTCTAGCTAAAGTTATTTTACTGTTTACTTTGTTCTTTGGTGGTAATTTAATTTTTTTTTTTAAATCATTTCAGGATGGGTTGTGTACGATACTTCTAAGCAGAGCGTTCACATGATTGTTGAACTGATCAACGATATGGGCTATGATGCGCATCTAATACGAACTCAGGGTTTTTTTTTTTGTTTTTCGTATCTTCAGCATACAAAACCATGAGATTGTTATTGAAAATTTGTAGACTTAAGGCTATATAGTTTGTTTATTTTAAAATATGCTTTTTGATGTTACTAGGCGAAAAAGCATTTTACACAGAGAACTTTTGAAAATTGTATCAAACATCGGAAAAAGCTGTCATATGAATTTCTTGCTACACTTTATTATCTAGAAATTACCATGCACAGGAAAGGAAAACATTTAAAAACTCGCTCAAGTTAATGCAGATTTGTTTTTTGGAATACTAGCGTATAGTTTGTTCGTAGATGAAAACTTGATAAGTTCTTTAATTTAAAAAAAATTCCAATTCTGATTTATTGAATTCTTCTTGGAAAAAATCTCATATTAAAATTGTTTTGTCTTCTAGTTATGCTTCTTAAATGATGTTGTTCTTCAGATTATTCTGGAGAAAAGTTAACTGGCGCATCCTCATTAATTTTACTTAAAAAGGAGAATGACGTTAATGAATCCACCGTGAAACTTGGGAAAAAGACAGCCAAATTCGGGCCTGTAAATGATGATTCCATCGAGAAACGAACATTTTCAGTAGAAGGAATGACATGTGCTTCATGCGTTGCATACATAGAACGGAATATTGGAAAATTGAAAGGTTTGTCATTTTTTTTAGTTCACTTATTTAATAAATTAATTATATGAAAAAGGAAGTATCGGCTTAGAATTCTGTTTATGAATATGATCCATAAGTGCAATTCGATATTTCAATGTAATTTTTTTTTTCAAATTTTGAACGACAGACCGAAATTTCAATGTTTTTCTCGCCTTCTTTTCTAATTTTAATTTCAGTCGAAAATTTAGCTCCCAGTTTTTTGTAGTTTGACATTAGTTAAATAAGACACATCTTAGTGATTGCAAAATAATTCAGTAATTTTATTTGAAGAAAATATGGAACTCCAGGTGTGCATTCTGTAGTCGTAGCTTTGATGTCATCAAAAGCGGAAGTTGTGTATGATTCGCTGGTAATCGCTGCCGAACATATAGTTGATGAAATTAACATGCTAGGATATCGAGCTGCGATTATCGATGATGGATTTAAAAATCATTCTGTGTTAAATTTACTGGTAAGTGTCATCTAAACTTAATTATACTAGCTATTAATTATTTTTATTGTTTCGCTGATTGTTTGACTTCAGTCGAATTGTAGTTTAAATATTATTTTCAATACTAAAGTTTGTTTCTCTTCCGTAGTTCAACAGTTGATGATATAGCAATCAGAAATCATATAAAACTTTTTCTTAAGTTCATTTACATTTTTTTTATTATTAAGTTCATCTACAATCTAAGAACAATAATTGAATGAATCTCTAATGTTACTTTCTTATTATATATGTACTTTTAATCAAGTGTTTCAGTTTTTTTGGTTTAGTTCCTTAAGTTGTATCATTTTCATAAAGTAATAAACAATAAATTAATTGTAATTCATGCACAAGCAATGAAAATATGTGTGTTTGTGTATTTGTAGAAAATATGTGTAATTATCGTTGTTAGGTTTTAGACGTATGTGATTTTAAGTAATATCTTCGTGAGTGGCAGCTCTTCGATAGTTCTATCCTGTTTGGATGATAACAAGTGAATGTACTCATCATGTAATTATAGAATTAGGGAAGTTATTAATTTTAGATTACCGGATTATCAACAGATATCTGCGTGCAACGAATTGAATCACATGTTGTTGCCAGAAAAGGAATCGAATCATGTTATGTTTCATTAGCAACGTCCTCTGCAAGAATTGAATACACTCCTACATTTATAGGTCCACGTGATATTATCAAAGTGATTGAGGTAAGAAACTTTGGTCAAGTTGATGAAAACTTAGACTGAAATTCAGTTTCATAAAGTCTTATATTATTGGTTTCTTAAATTATGATAAATTCATTGAGGATTTGGGATATTCGGCAACAGTTGCATGTCACGATGAGCAACTTAAAAGGCTCGATCATTCGGTCGAAGTAGCAAAGTACGTTAACTTTTCAAAAGCACTATGTATTTTCATTTATAATTTTAACTCTTGTAAGAAATCAAATTGTACTATAATCACTTCTCAGCTAATATCTTACCTATCGTTCTGAATGAACTCCTCACTATCTATTTGTTGATGCAGGTAAATTTTCCAAGATCTTAAGTGATAAATATCAAATGAATTTTGGCATTCCAAATCTTATTGTTCTTTTAAATTAATGTTGTAATTGTAGTAAGGTAAATAATTTTGTTTTGAAATTCTATTTCAGGTGGAGGATTTCACTACTGATATCACTGCTGTTTGGCATACCGGTAATGGGTGTGATGGTTTATTTTCATTGGTTTCTTCACACACCGATGCATCCCGAGATGCAGACACCAGTATTTACTCCTGCACTCAGTTTGGATAATCTTATTTTATTTGTTTTATGCACACCTGTGCAGGTACCCATTAATAGTTTTTAACAATCAGTTTACGGTGTTTTATACTTTCTTTAGTGTCAAAATTACACCATTTCCAGCATTTTCATACGTTTTAATAGATTATCATCTGTTAGTGCAATCGCTACAGATGATAATCTATGAAAAAAAATTAATAAATGTTAATTACTTCATATCATTCTATTTTGTCACTTATTTTCTCATTTACTTGATCATTTAAATGTTTCTTTGTAATGGGTCTTGATATCTATGTGTTATTATTCTGAATATTTTTCAATTTTTTTTTAGTTATTTGGTGGCAAATACTTTTATTTGCAAAGCTGGAAAGCGGTAAAGCATGGTTCGGCGAATATGGATGTTTTAATCGTTCTTGCGACAACTACTTCATACTTATATTCCTTAACTGTTGTTCTGATAGCTATTATTTTGAGGTAAATATTTATAGAAGCTACAAAATTAATTTCTTAGATAAGATGTTGTGTTGTCGAAATGGGATGTTATTAGAAGATCATATTAAGTTTTGAATTTCTCAAGTTTTCTATGGTCAGGAAGAATTAGTGATAATTTTTATTCTGATTCATCATTTGAACTTCTGTACTTTATTAAATTTAGGCGAATGATTTTTGATGAAATTTTTGATGCTGCATGGATGTCCATACGCAAAATAATATATTAATGTTAAACAGTAGTTCTATCTTTTACATAATGAATTGCTTAGATATAACTACTTTCATACTTATATTCCTTAACTGTTGTTCTGATAGCTATTATTTTGAGGTAAATATTTATAGAAGCTACAATATATTTGCATAATTTTATATTTCCAGTTGCTATTTGCTTTTTCGAAATATATTTGCATAATTTTATATTTCCATTTGCTATTTACTTTTATTTTCTTTGGATCTATCTCAAGTTTGCTCTAATTTTAGGTGGTCAAGTAGTCCGATGACATTTTTCGATGTTACCCCAATGCTTATAACTTTCGTATCATTAGGTCGATGGTTGGAGCACAAGGCAAAGGGTAAAACGTCAGAAGCATTAAGTAAACTGATGTCATTGCAAGCAAAAGAAGCTGTATTAGTAACTCGAGATGACGATGGACGTATTTTATCCGAGGAACATATTGATGTTGAATTGGTCAGTTTGATTTTGAAAGAAATGTTTATTCATTTCGATAAGCATGTAGAAATGCATAGAGATATGTATTAAATGTAGGTAAATGAAAGTGGTAATTTACTGTTTATTTTCCGGATTTTTCCAGGTTCAAAAGGGTGATTTATTAAGAGTTGTTCCGGGCGCCAAGATTCCAGCTGATGGAACTGTTGTAGATGGTAAAAGTGCAGCGGATGAATCATTTATAACTGGAGAATCGATGCCTGTTGTCAAGAGAGAAGGTAATCTCACAACTGCTTCATTTCTGTTTTACTTTTCTTTTAATTTGTTGTGATAGCTTAAATTTTATCTCATTTGGTGAGCAAATCACGCAGCTAATATTTACATGTCGACTGGTATGATATTCGAAAATGTGCCATTGTAAAAAATGTGAAATTATGGAATTCTTATATGAAACTTCAATGCTTGGTAGTGGGCTTTAAATTCATTGTAGTGTAATAGTTAACCTTCAACAGGAGTGGAATTTTCACTCAACAATTAAGTAATCAATGTTTTACTAATTTTATTATTATTATTACTGAAACAATACGTATTAGTTGTTGTTGCTGTTGAAACAGTAGGTATTATTATTTCAAATAATGGTTATTACTCAGATGGTAAATACCTTTCATTTCAGGCAGTACAGTAATAGGTGGTTCGGTTAATCAACATGGGACGCTGTTGATACAGACTACTCATGTTGGTCAGGAAACAACGTTAGCGCAGATTGTGCGTTTGGTTGAAGAAGCGCAAACTTCTAAAGTTCATTTTTTATAAAGACATATTTCGTTTTATACTTGATAGTGGTTCCATTTTTTTTTTTGTTATATTTCAGAGAACTGATTTTATTGTTATTTTTTTATAGGCGCCAATACAGCAAACAGCTGACCGAATAGCCGGCTTTTTTGTACCGTTGGTTATTGGTTTGGCAACATTAACATTTTTTGCCTGGATATTTCTTGGTTTCTTTGCTGTGGATATAAGCTACATGGTTCGATTTTCTTTTTTTGTTTCAATATATGGAATATTTGGCTATATTATGTGAATCGTGACGATTGTAAACTAGATTTTTACAAGCACTGAGATTTCTGTAAGATATTTTGAGCTGGAAATTTTGATATCAGTTTACTAGAGGTTAAGGTTATCTTTTGATTTACTATTAACACTTTATCTCCGTTGTAAACTACCATGTTGTTTTTGATATCGAATGTTCATATCCGTCAAATATTTCTGTTCATTATAAATCGAGGCATAATGGTTATCAAAACATTGACATCGTGATATCTGAATAAAATGTTATAGAGAAAAATGTATTCTTGGATGATATAGTTTTTAAAAACTGTGTGTTAAATTAAAATTTTTATGCGACACTGTGTTTTGAGATTTAAATTAAAACTATGAGCTGAGAAATTTTTAATTTTTTAGGATAAAAGGACAGAGATGGAGATTATACTGAAGCGCGCTTTTGAAGCAGCCATCACAGTATTAGCAATAGCATGTCCTTGTTCACTAGGCTTAGCGACACCAACGGCAGTAATGGTTGGTACAGGTATCGGTGCTGTTAATGGCATTCTGATTAAAGGTGGTGAATCGTTAGAAATGGCTCATAAGGTAAGCAATAATTATTTCTGAGACTTTTTCCAAAAATTTGAATTTTAAGTTTATAAAAACTATTGGATAAAATTTATGAGCCTCAGCAAAAAATGAATTTTGAGGAACTTCTAGTAACAAAAGTGATTTTTTTTTCACCAAAAATATCTTTAATTATTTTCAAATATTATAAATGACTAAAAAGTGTTTTATTTTCTCAGATCACGACAATTGTTATGGATAAGACTGGTACCGTAACCGAAGGTCATCCACGGGTGGTAGTTATTCATACGCTAATTTCGGAAAATAACTTGTCACTATTGAAATTATTCGCTGCCGTTGGTTCGGCCGAATCAAATAGCGAACATCCTATTGCAAATTCAATTACTTCTTTTGTAAAAGAAGTAAGTGGAAGTAAACGAACTTTCGGAAAAAATTATATAAAATTTCATTGAAATTTTTAAACGTTCCTTTTCAGACCATCTTTCGATTCATACAGTTCCTTTTCATTTATATGTTTTTATTTCATAGTGGTTAAATACCAAAGAATGGGCCACTGTTCGACGATTTCATGCATCGGCCGGAAATGGCATTGCTTGTGAAGTGTGGAAAATCGATGATATGTTACTTAGTATACAGAAGAAAGAATCTTTGATTGATTCAATAATTAAATTAAATAGCGGTGATGTTACATTAATCAGGAATGAACATTGCGGTAAGCTATGGAATATAGAGTTTCGCTTTCTATACGAAATACTTGTCTTTTAATATGATTATAGATTGAAATTTTCGAGGCATTTATAGTAAATACCTTTATATAATGCCACAACAGGAAAAAGGATTTTTTTTTAGTTTTCTCGAACAATGTATGAACTTATGGTACCAATCGCTTAGTTGTATTTTTCTTTAACAGACAGTGACCAATATCGTTATCTTCATTTGAATTTTCTAACTGTGAATTCTGCTTTCTGATCATCATTACGGATGCAAAATTTAGTGATTATATTTTTTGTAGGTACTCAGGAAGTTGTATTTAATGACAATGTGCCATTTCGAGTTGTAATCGGTAACGAACGATGGATGATTAAAAATGCAGTTCCAGTTGATGAGTATGTTGGAAATCTCATTGAAAAGGAGCAGGCATCTGGACACATATCTGTTATGTGTGCAATAAATGGTAAGAAAATATTTATTATCACTAACTTCCAACCAATCATTGATGTGGAGTAGGTGAAATAAATAGGGCCAAATGATTCGTTATCACATGGATATACTTATTAAGGGATATTTCTATATTTCAGGTTATCTTGTTGCGACGATAAGTATAGCAGATACAGTGAAGAATGAAAGTGCTCTTGCTGTTTGGGCTCTACAGCGTATGAATATTAGAGTAATCCTCCTGACAGGTGATAACGCTCGTACTGCAGAAGCAACCGCTAGACAAGTTGGTATCCGCGAAGTATTTGCTGAAGTTTTGCCAAATCAGAAGCAAATTAAAATTGAACAGCTGCAGGTATTTTGAAAAATGTCTTCTCGATAAATGAATTTAAAAATAATCCTGTTATTAATACACAAGTGAAATATTCTAATAATAAATTTGCCATATTAATACTGCTTTTTTTTTGAAACAAAAATTAAAATTTTTCCGAATTTTATTGTAGGTGTTATAGTGTTAGCTATTTTGGGAATTCACTTTTTACTTTATTGCGACTTAAAGTTTTTCCTATCGTTAAAGTACTTTTTCAAGCACTTCTTTTTAGTCTTTTATTCGTTTTTTTTATAAATTAAGGTATATTTTATATCAAATACCATAAAACATCTCTATTTTAGGGAATGAAAGAGCGGGTAGCGATGGTTGGTGATGGAATAAATGATAGTCCAGCATTGGCTAGTGCTGATGTTGGCATTGCAATTGCAGCTGGTTCAGATGTTGCAATCGAAAGCGCAGGGATCGTCCTAGTGAAAGTAAGAATTTTTAATTAAATTTTGTTTTAAAATGGGATCTTGGTTTAGCATCATTCAATATCCATAATTAGATACACTTTTGATTTTTTTTCTCATACTAGTTGTTGATATTTTTCATATTTTGAATTAAGAAGAGCAGAATAGTCATTTTTGGAAAAGTATCAATTGCCTTCATGAAAGCAATGATTGAACATAAGAAATAAGGAGGTTGATAAAACGAAGTAAGTAGCTAATTGTTATTATTGTTATTCAGAATGATCTTATTGATGTAGTAGCAGCGATTGATTTATCGAAACGGACAACACGTCGTATACAGCTTAATTTTTTGTTCGCTGTATTATATAATGTCATTGGAATTCCTATTGCAGCCGGTTAGTTTTCTTTCTACAGCTTTTTTAAAATCTTGATTGAGATATCTTACTTTAGTTTCCGATCCAAGTGAAGTAGCTTTCTTGAAAGGCTGTTAAAAAGTTGTTCCACTTGGTTCAGCAATTGTTCCCATCCGTATATTTTAAGATAACTGAAAAATCATTGGAGATTAAAAAGATATGATAAGCAATAATGAATAAAAGGTAGTGAAGTAATAAAGATGTATTAAGAAGGTTTTATCAAGCTCGAAATTTGAAAATTATCAAAAAGTATTTATTTATGTAATTTATTTGTAATCAGTCGTCAAACCCTCATCGTACTCGGACAGATTTGATGTTTAAATCTTTGAGAACATGTAGATTGTTATTCATTATTATTTCAGGTGTTTTCATGCCTTGGGGCTTTATTATTCAACCGTGGATGGCAGCAGCAGCAATGGCTTTATCGTCAGTCAGTGTTGTTGCTTCGTCCTTAATGCTAAAACTGTACAGGCAAATTATTAATTTCATCGTGTTTTATAATTTCCTAAACATTTCGTAATTTCATGATTAATTTGTAGGTAGTTGCTTAATTTTGTCATAATACTAAAACATCTTAAAAATTGTATCCTTTAAAGACAGTGATTTCTAACTTTCGACTTAGTCGATTTTTATCTTCTAAATAATCATTTATTTGTGGCGTATACTTTTTAGACCTTAACATTTAGGAAGCCAACTCAGCAAAGCCTGGCTTGTGTAGAATTTTACAACCATCAAGCACGATTAGCGATGGGTGATTGGCCGGTTGTTGTACATCGTGGTTTGGATGATTTTGCGGTCAGACGATCGTTATCGAAATTATCATTCAGTTCATTTATTTCAACAATAAGCTCGATATTCGACTCACAGCAAAATGTAAATCGTATTACACCATTAAATAGGTCTGTCAGTTAATCTTGCAAGTAATGCAATTATTTTATACATTTATTTTTAAATTATTTTATGTGATAGATGACTTTGGTTGAAATTTTGCATTTATTTGCTTATCTAACATGTCGTGAGACGGCCTTACTTAATAAGGGAAAAGAAAGCAGTTTGTTCCCTTTGTTTGAAAAAATGACCATGCTACCTTTGTTGCTTTAAGGTGTCCCTTTCGTTTCATTTCAGCTTGATTTCCATGTTGTTTTTTCCATTTATATCTTTTGATATGAATAATTTCAGGAATACGTTTATCTTTTAAGTAATTAAAAGTAGTTAAAATTTCCTGAAATTTTCCATTGCTATAACTTATAACCAAACAGATTTTTCAAATTCATATACAAAAGTTATATGGATATTTTCTGAATGGAAGCTACGTATGACATAAGACCTTCATACTATTTGTTTTGGCAGGAATTTTTTGGAATCTTTAATTGTATTATTATTATTGTTATTTGACGAAATAATTGCGGATAATAGTCGTAAATTATTTTTAGAAAAGTTTTGCTTCAACGTAAATCAAATGCTGGTTCACCGGACTCATCGAACACTGCACTTATGATATAAATCTCTTTTATCCTCATTGCCTCTGTCATTTGTTTCTCTGTCACGTCGTAATCGCTAATTCTGCTTCGTGAACTATGCTTTTTTTTTCAATATGAAATCCGAATGGAATTGGCAGAAGTTATCAGAAAATAATCTGACAATCAATCTCGATCACTGCAGCTGCATCCATCAGAAAACAAATCAAATAATTTGGCATTCTCAAGTGAGCTGTCATCAGTTATTGCGTATTATTTATTCTGCTCTTTTTCGGTGCCCTTTGCTTGCTGAAAGAGAGAAATGATTAGAAATTTGTTATTAGCAAGTAGGGAATGATCAAGAATTAACTGCCAGAACTCTCCCAACGTAAACTAATGTCGTTTTCAACTACTTATTATTTAAGCTGCATAACATTAGTTGCAACTTTCTGGTGAAGTCCTATCGATTTGCTTCATATTTTCGGGAATGAATATGCTTTTTTCTACTTTGTTATCATTCCATTGCTGTCATTCCCATATCGCGAGAAATTTGTTAGATCGAAATTTTCGGGTAGAAATTTAAAATATAATTGAAAAATATCTGAAAAATATTGGAATTTAGTTTAATAACGGATTACTTGAAATATCATATTTATAATTGCATTAATTTGCATTTCTTTTACCATTCATACGAAAGCGTTAATTTATGCTTTTACTTCTATTTGTATACTATTATCTTTGTCAGATCCATAAATGCTTAATCATTTTATTGTTACCTACAACTGATTTCTTCTTTTGCAAGCTATAAGTACCTTATTCTCCTCTGGAGAAAATAGGGATTTTAATCTTTTTCCATTTTAAATTCATTTATGTCCATATCATGTGTAGTCCAGTGGAGCTGTTAATGTTGATATTTGGTATGATTTACATCCTTTCAATTTATTTCAAATTTATCTAGTTTTTCAAGTGCCTTGATGTATTCCACTTTGCATTTAGGATTTCTTTTTGATTATGGGTTTGTGGAGAAGGTGGTGATTTTTTAATTTTAATTCAGTTATAAGAATTTTAATTTTAATCTCAGCTATAGCAACCGGTCGATTTTTGTTTACTAATGTTTCTTTTTTTTTCTTTTCTTTTTTTTTGTTTACTAATGCAAAGCTTGGTGAATTTATGTGATGAAACTAATGCCTTTTGATTTAAATTTAAACAGATCTACATTTATGCAGCTCTATTTTGAAAAATGAAAGAGAGTTGAAGTGAGAAGGATCCTGGTTAAAATTTTCAAATATCTGAACAATGCGTTGGAAATGTATGATATATCACTTATTTCAATGCCTGAAACTGGCTCCAGTTACCAACCTGAAATCATTTATGAGAGTGTATAAATCTCAACAGCCAAGATATTCATTTAGTTTCTCAGTTTTGTCTAAAATTTCAGTGTCTTTTTTTCTGAATATCATTTATCAGCTTTTTATCCAGTAAGATTTCCCGCTATCATTCTGGTAGTTCTTTCATGACTCCTATCATTTTGCATTTTTGTACATTCTTAAAGGCGGTGATTGAACAGTTCCGATTTTCTATTTCTGTAAACATGGTGGATGCATTTAAAGGTGTCTTTCTTTTCATTAAAAGCATTTTCCTCCTGTTAGTGTTTATATTAACATTTTTTTCATTTATATAATCCATTGCTGCTCCGTCATAACTTTTTTTCATGATTTCTCTATTGTCATGCGACAGTGTCATGGGATATGATTTACATGTTAATTCAAATTTATTATGAAGACAATAATCTTTGAGTTTAAAATTTCATTCATTTGAAATATCTTTATGCATTGTAATGCAATGTAAATTAATGACATAAAATCACGTTTTGTTTTCTGTTTATAATTTTGGTTTCTGATTAAAATTTTAATTATTATCATAATTGGAGGGACTTATTGATGTAGATCTTTTGTTAAATCTTGATCAGATCGTTTTTGGTTTTTTTATTGACCGGTTATTATATGATATTTTTTTTCTTGGTTTTGTTTGAAGCTATCAGTATTGTAATCATCACAAGAATAATTCTTAACTTTCGATTTACTGCAAATCACAATTCAGTTTTCCTTCTGTATATTATCTGCTATTTTAATAGTAATTTAATGCTGATAGAATGGAAAAGATGGTTATCAAAAGCACAGACAACTGTAATGTAGATTGACATTTCCTTTGTGGCGTTACTATATTTCGAGCTGAAATTTCAAAATTACAAGATTTTGAATGATTAGAGATTGTTCGAGCATTTAAATATGAAGAGCTCTTAAGTATGAAATAAACTATTTTTGTTTAATTCTAAATATCAAGGATATCATAAGACCATTTAAAAAAAAAATCGATTTCTTTTTCAATAATTTTTTTTCTTGTTTTTGTCATGCTGCAAATATTGTAAATCTTAAGCACAGTTAAGAATTTCTGTAAAATGAAAATAAAAAATTTACTGGGAAATTTTTTGAAAAACATATGCTGACTTGAACTATGAAGAATGGTAGTGTGAACGGTGCGAACGATCGTTCTTTCCAGTATTTCTGTGGTGGATGATATAATTTCTTTTTCAGGTAATCCTTTGCTGCAAACTGTTGTGTTAGCGCAGGTCTTCATATCGCTATAAATAAGAATAAAAAGTGATATTTCAAAATATTGACATTTGAAATTACGTAACTTGACATATCAATCAGAATTTTTCAAGATCAGTGATGCTCATCACTGCTTCATCGTTGCGGATAACGTAATCAAAGGAAACAAAAAAGCTTATGAATTTCGAAAATCTCCAGCGCTTTCACCTGCTTCACACAACTCCTAATCATTTATTTTCCCTTCACTTTTTTCTTGAAGCGAAAAAAATACTAAATTTTGTCCAGCAGACTAAAAACTTTTCTCTCGTAATAATCAAAACTAAATCAATTAATCAAATCACACTAAAAACTAACAGATAGATAGATTATTATATTGTGGAGTAAAATTTAAAGAAGAAATTACGCATTTCGATGATTGTTAGTACAAACGCATGAATAGATATAACGTTTACTACGTTGACAAGCAAATTTGTCGTAGAAATCACAATTGAAATTCCGTGGATATTCGTAAGCACTATTACAGAGAATCGGACTAAACTCCTGACCTAACTCAATGCAACGTCGAAATTCGTCGACATCTGCAAAAAAAAAAAAAATCGACAATAACTAAAAATATCAGGAATAAACTTTAACAATAAAAAACTTCAAACTTGGGCGAAATTTCGAAAATTGATGAAATCAATGAAGAAATTCTTGCATTCAATTTTGTACAACTCTCTTTTGAATACTGCTTATTTTAAATATGACAACAAACAAACAATTAATTGGGAGGCAGAGCATAATAGTTATACATTTAAGTTTTAAACAAGCTGAAGAATGTTTGGTAACATGTATTATCTGCTGTCCATTAGTCAATCTAATGCCAACATACTGTTCAATAGAATAGCCATACTATTAAGCTCCTCATAAAGGCCAGATAATTTAAATCATCAACAATTTCAATCGGTGGAATACGGGAGGCCAAGAATCAGAAAAAATACCTCACGTATAGATATTGATACTGTACAATTAAAACATCAATCAATTATGGTATTAAACTAACAATCAGATTTTTTAATGCAAATGTAGCCGAACAGGCATGGCTTCCAAATTATTTTACCGTACAGCTCAAGCGGTCGTTTATCACAAAGTACAGCATTGCTATCCGCTACACATTCCATTTTCTCCCCTGAAATCAAAAGCTAAAAATATTTTGTAGGATATTTTGAACTGAACTAATCAAAATTCTGATGATAAAAAGCATCAAAATAATTCCATTTAAGTAATGTAATAATAATATGATTCATATTTCCATCTCTTTTGAACCTTGCATTCCTGCTAATAATTTCACTTGAAGTCAAGTAATAAACTCAGATAAACTTTAGTTCAAGTAATGTTTGTTCTTTTTTTTTTCCATAATTTTCTTTGAATTTCATTGAAAGCCTGTTTTGCTTAAAGTTTCTGAGAGCTTCTTTTAAAAAAAATCACTGATGAAATCTCACTTAAAATTTTGCTAACGGACAAATCTCTTACAATTTATCAATGAAATATTATCAAAGCCATCGAAATCAGAATGATTTTGATCTTCTAATCCTGTTGATTTTCTAGGAATTTTTGTCTGAAATATCTCAAACGACCATGATGATCAGAAAGCCATCTTCTTTTTTGAATTCAACTTTATTACAAGATATTTCTTAGAATGTAATAAAGGCATTTAGAAATTTCGAAGAATTTTAAGTTTTATTTTTTATCAAATCCCGACTACTTAAAAGTATCACACTGGCCCAAATCTCAGGCTGAGAGATTATGAAACATAAAAAAATTATTTTCAATAAAATTTCAAACAGTAATTTACTGTAAGCAGATAAAACAAAAACGACATGAAATAAACCGCTTCCATTGAGCGCCAAAATTCGGCTAATATCTTTTTTTTTGCATGCATCCAAATAAAAATAAATGGCCCGTTTAACATTCAAATTCATTATCTTAAAAATTTCATTATCTTAAAAAATCATTATCATTATCTTAAAAAGTTTCACAATTCTTACTCAAAATTAAACCCCAATATTCACGAACATATATATCGATGATTGTATGACGATATGATGTGACATGTGCAAATATATGTTATCACGATCATATCATATCATATCATACGTTCCACGTCGATAATCCATATGCATCCGCACGTGTATCACCAAAATAATATGTTGTTTTTTTTTTTTTGAAGTGTTCGATGCTTCAGAGGTGTGTATGGTCATTTACATTGTTAAAATGATACTTGCCTTCGTAAAAGGCTGATAAAGTTTTAAACTTAGGGATCAGCTTCGATCAAAGAAAGATTTTTTTGCAATCGAAAGTTTCTTTTAATTAATGAAAGCAAATCTGAAAGCTATCGAATAATTAAAACTGAATTTTAGTCAGACAACTTTTACCAAAACTCAAACATCAATCACTTTTTACTTTCCAATGGAAAAAATCCCACACCCGTGAAATTTAAGGATAACATTTTGTGTGCCCATCAATTACTTATCAGTGAACCCGCAAAATACCATTTACCGTTTTTCCGTTTGTCGCCAAAACAGGCCTGCTTTACGAAGAACTTTAGCTCAGGTGTCATCCGATTCACATGTACCTATCGTACGTAATGATTCCATGGATGTAAATAACGTTTTATGCTCGATAAAATTTTATTGATTACATAGTGAAAGATATATTGCGCTAACACGTATCTCACGTTAGAAGTAATGGGTAAAACGCGGTTAGGCTCAGCTTTATATGACCAGTAATGAGTTGGTTGGGTGGCGGCAATTTTGCGGTATTTTTTCCGATACGCTCGTGACCCTTGACCTTCATTTAGCTATACGATAGTATATCTATAGCGGTAATTATCAACGAATTTTTTTATCTTTCATCAATTCTGTATATTATGTTGGTACTTTTTTCGATAATTTCCATTTATATTTATTTTGTCACATCACTTACATACTTGGTAGCATATTGGATTCGTAGCAGTAAACCGTTTGTCCAGTATTTCAAAATCGATATCATATACGATGAAAAGTTATGAATTTAGTAGTGTAGGATTTTTGTTTCCTTCTTTTTCTTTCATTCCTTTTGCTTCTTCCTGGTTTACTATTATATGCTTTTATAAATAATTATATGCGTGGGCGGAGAAAAGAAATAGTATTTGGAGGGAAAAAAAACTGATAAGGAATGGAGTACATTAGAATATGTGAGTGATAAAATGAATAACGGATATTGAATGTGAACGGAAAAAGATGAGGATTATTGTATATGAGTTGAAAAGGAATTTGAGAGAGATGATTATTTTAATGAAAAAGCGGAATGATCACTTATCATTATCAGTTAATTTTTTCAATTTTCTAAATGAATACTTTTGACAGTTTCTTTTTGAATGAAAGAAACGAATGAATTCATATCAGTAATATATGAATTTATATCAGTAATATTTGATATAGAAATCAGATCGATTGTGCTGTAGTTATTTTTGATTAGTTGGTGGAACAGTTCACAGTAACTAACTGATGGAATCATCAATGATGTGTTTTTTTTTTTGTTGCAAATTTTATGCTTTACGTAATTCAACTGCAATCATGCCTGCAATTGTTTACTGTTGATTGTATTAAATGAGAGGGATAGATCATGTAAGTGTATATTTACCACGTGATCCAATTGCTGTAGTGTAATTTTTTTCCGAAGTGCAATCTTCGCATCTCATTTTCTCGTTGTAGTATTTGATCTTCTGGGAAAATGATTGATGATTACTTCAGTATCACTTGTACTTGTTGAAATTTCAACTTCTGATATCTTTCTATTTAACTATCAATTTATTGACTTCCAACTAAAGAAATTAACGTATGCATTGCCTGCAGCATTAATACTTTTTTTTGTTATTATTATTCAAAAGATTTCTTTAAAGAAAAAATTTTTGAACAAAAAAGCATTACTTGTTTCCCCTTTTTTTTCCTTTTTCTTCGTTTTTATCTACTACTCATTTAGCCTCTGAGATTCTCGATTCTGAAATAATGTTTAATAAAACTTTGATTCTTATTCTTATGGGTATTTGCCGATTTAAAATGAGTTCCGTTGAAACTCGAATTATAAGTATACTAATTTGAAATAGTTTTGTCCTAAAATTTTTCAAACAAATTTAGATATCAGTTTAAATAGTTTCCAAAGAAATTAAGTTAAGATATGTACAGTGCTTTTCTTTGCACAGATTTCAATAAAGTTACCAAATTTATTCTTATTTGAAAATAAATATTTGCCCATAAGAAAGAAAGAGCTGAGTGTGGTGAAACCCGACAAGTAATATTGCTGTTAAAGTCAGTGTCAAATACAATAGTGGTGTTTTGTACTCGATAATGAATTTAGTAAAATTTCCATTTCACTTAAAATCAGTGGCAGTTCTCATATTTTTTCAGAAGTTGTTTGAATTTAATAGTGATTTTCTTTCATTGTGTCATTCTCCTATCGCGGAATTTGGATAATGCCTCCGAAAAAGGAAAATACCGCTACGAAAGATACTTCTAAGGTTAGACTTTTTTTTGGTTTTTAATTTAAAATATTCGAAATATATTAGGAATACTCCAAAAATTCCCATAGCTGTGTACATAGCATCATTTAATACAAGGATTAGAATATGAGTGATTCTACATTTTTGCATTTAATTTTGATTAATTGTTACATGCAATAATCCTTTGGTTAATAGCGCTCAATATTGTCTAATACAACTGGATAAGTTTATAAACATTTCAATATAATCACTTTTAATCATCTAAAAATATTAGTTGAGTATAGAATTTATATGACAGGAAGTTGCAAAACCCTCGGATATTTACGAATTGCATGCTAAGGTGCTCTGTCAACATTTGGATAATCTTTATTATGAAGCGAAAATTATCAACGTGGAGCATGGCATCGATGGAGAACCTATTTATACCGTTCATTATCAAGTGTGATTCTTTTATTTTTTAAATTATTTCCCTTTTCACAGTATCGAATAGAATTGATTATCGGGAACTTAAATAAGTATCGGATACTGTTAATATGCAAATATACATCAACTATAACTATTCATCTGACTACAGTTAAGCTTAACCTCTCGTGTTTATTCAGTTTTTTCTATTTGGTATTTATTTTCTATTTTTAGGGCTGGAATCAACGACATGACGAAAAAATTAAGCATAGCAGCACACGTAGTCGTTTTTTGGAATATACGACAGCTAATGTTGAACGTGCAAAGGTTTCTTTAAATGTTCCAATTAATAATTTTAGTCAGGAAAATTTTTTTTTTGAATTTTTAAGAAATGGTTACGTTAAATATATTGATGTTCAATATTTTTTTTAGTAATATATGTATTTTTCTTGTTCATACCTTTTACTGCTGAACGTGATATCCTACTTTCTCAGTTTACATACCAAAAATTAGTGATACCCTACGATAAACCATTGTTTTTTAGAATTAATTACGGTGATTGGATCTGCAGAGGGATAAAACAATTCTCATGAACTGATTATTCAGAAATTTTTCATTTCCTCATAAAATTTTGTGAATGAATATCACACCGTAATAGTAAGTCACAGTGCAGGAAATCTGTTGCGAAAACTAAAAACCGATAGTTATTTATTTATAACATAATATTAGCGTAGAAAATTGAAAGCTGACTTCTGCCGTTGAAATACTGTAGTCCTTGTTATTCGTGCATACGTTTCTTTTGTAAATTACATCACAACTATCGACTTTATAAATCGATGGTTGACATAATTCACAAAAAAAGTATTGTAATTGTAGGACGAATGTTTGTCATGAATAAATCAATCGTAGATACGGAAAGGAAGGGAAAAAAATATTTAATTAATTTAAAATTAGAGTGAGACTGATCATATTTTCTGGAAAATATAACAGCTACGCTGGATCACCATCTCTCTCATCTCTAAATTGCTATGCAGTTTCAATAAGCTATGTTATATGGTATGAAAAGTTCAATTCATCTCTCATAACATATTTAACTCATTCCGTACATGTCTCAGTCGTCTAACTGATCTAATCTACGTACTAAAGCCAAATATATAAAACAAATAATATAATGAATGGATTGAATAATTGATACTCATGACGGAAAGATTAACTTTTTAAGCACGTATTTTTCATCACACCTACAAATTGTTGAATCGCATCTTCAAATGTAAATTTTAACCATTAACGTCCATGATTAGTTCTATTGAGCAATGAACGGACAGAAATCTCGAGGATATGATTGAACAGTGTAAAGAAGGATTTGTTAAGTCCTTGAGAATTGGTGGTTTGCTGTATTACTTATGAAATCGGGCATTCATTTTTCATACTTATTATTCTTATAAATCGAAAATTTTGAATTTGTATAGTCTTATGATGGCATCATTTAAGATAGGAATGGGTTTAAGATAGGAAATGTCCATTAATTATTAGAAACTTAGAAATGCTTAGTTTCTCTTATCATTAACAAAAGATTTCCAAGAAAAGTAAAAGAAAAGAACTGAACAAGGTCCGTTATTTTTGTAAGTTTTAAATAATCACCAATAATCTAAAGTCAATTAATAAATTTCAAATAACCTCTCATTTTTGATCGTTGTATAGTTCATATTAAATAATGGTTTAAAAATAATGCTTGAACTTTGCTACGTTCTACTATAATATTTCATTTTTGCAAATTTCTTATAGATTAATTAATGCAGCAAACGAGAATTAATTGGTGTTCACTATTTTGTGAAGGAAAGAGAAGGGGCAAGAACATTGGCTCAGAATGAAATTGATAAATCCCATGTAATGTAATGGAAGAATGAAATTGAATTGAGGGTCAAACTAAGGTTGAGAAAAATTTTCTAATTCTTTAGGCAGAAATGAGAGATGCTCAGGCTCGATTAGCGCAAAACAAACGACGTAGCCGGAAATCGAATGTCCTGGATGAGAAACGAAGTGGTGGAGCTGATAGTCGAGGGAGTACACCATCGGACAAGCGTGGGACATCAACAAGTCGTGCTGCTAGCATTGCATCGGATAAAGGTTATCTATTTCGGGAAATTTGAGAGCACAGAAGATGTTTCAGAGTAGGTTCCATAAAGTGCTTGTTATCCTTCAGTGGGAATATTGGGAAGCTGTGTGAATTGTCCTTGTTGTCAGTTTACATTATTGCCTGTTATTTTTGCTATTTGATTGATGAATAATAGTATGACTTGGAATGCTATCCTCAAGCTTTTGGTTCTAACAGAAGTATGTAGTTGCAAAAAAAATTAATAAAATGGTAAATTTTCGAGACCATTTTCAAAATTCATTCAGTTAAAAAGATGTCAAAAAAAAGTTTTCTTTAGGGACTATGCGAAAACGTAAACCAGGTACACAGTTGGAGAGTGAACCAGTTTCGGATTTCATCCGGAAGAATGAAATTAAAATTGATGTAAGTGTTTTTCCTGACCTAATTTTTGTGATCTCTTTTATTGATGTTATATCTAAATCCCAGCTTTTGATGATAAATTTTCGTCTTAATTTCTCATCCGCTGTTTCACAATAGTTTTTTCTGATTTATTTGAAAAAAGGAAAAATGAAGGGCGAAGCTTTTCGACCGGTTCTAATGCATTTTAATTGTCATTTCTTATTTCTTAGGTTTGCAGAATGACGCGTAGAATCTTAGGATGTAGTACTGATCATTAAATGATATTAGTGATTTTAGTTAAATTGTGGTTGTAGATATGTCTTGTGTATTGGCTGGAGTAATCTAGGATACTAGCATATAATTTCTTTTAACGTCACAGTAGTATTGACAACTAAAAATTGCCTTAGAATTACTTTAGTTCATCATATTTATACTTTCTGAATGTACGAATTGTCTTAATTTTAGATACCATCAGTATTGAAGGACATCCTGGTCGATGATCACGATATGGTTAATCGTCAAATGTATCTTCCACGACTTCCGGCACGTCATACAGTAGCTGGTATTGTCCGTCAGGTTAGATGAAAATTTACGGAGAATGAATGACGAAGAGTGATTAGGGTTATTTCGACAAATCTTTTGCTTTGATAAACCAGCTCTTATTTCTTACAATAAATCAGTACCTTATCTCTCTCTTAAAGCCTTTATCTGTCGCTAAAGAGCAAAGATGATATCTATGTTATCCTGAGATTGAATGAGGCTTCTTCAATAACCAATGATGATCATCCTGATAATAAGCACCATTCTTTTGGATTAAAAAAATCCAAGGCTGGCTGAATCAGTTCACTAATTAGTATACTGACCTAAAGGGAAATGGTTTTTTTAATCTTATGTGAAATACATCACGGAAGAATAACTGATTTAATTACTTGGTGATTAATTTAGCCAACATTTGGTTCTTAGATCGATAAAGCACTTGAAAAGATATTCGAATATGGAAAATAGTCCTGTTGTTATAGTATGCGGATTACATGGGTACATGTGTGGAAGCGAAAGATACTTTGACTTTTGAATTCGGAAGCGATGATACACAGCTGAATTCCATGGTGGTTACTTTGGTTGAAAGCAGTTATGGTATACAGGTTTCTTGATTTTTATTTCTCTTTTTTATTTTACTCACAATGTATCACAATTTTCCTTATCCTACATAACTTCTCTTTAACACTTTATTTTAATATTCAGTCAAATGGATTTCGTTTTTCTTTTTAATAATCAATAGTTTTTCACGATGTTGTTTTTGTACACTTTTCAATGCTGAAAAAAAATTATGGTTTACGAGTCTGATTTGACGTTTTTGATATATTTCTATTTTTTGCTTTTTTTAAGGATTATTTTAACAATTCGCTGGGATTACAATTGCTCTATAAATTTGAACGACCTCAATATGCTGATCTTCTTGCCCAACATAAAACTAAACAGGTACAATTTTTCCACTCTAGTTCGTAGCGGTGCAATTTACAAATATTTTTCTGTTCCGAACTACTGATATAAATGTTTTCACTTAATATTATACTTCAACGTGAACTGGAAAATGCAAATTTAACTGCAATTGGAGAATCGAAAGCGTAAATTATTCCGGGAAATTTCCAAAACTGGGAAAAACGAGTTTTAATTTAGTTGTCCAAGTTCGGCAAAATATTCTTTTGCAAAGTTCTATGGAAACAATTTGCCCATCGTTTATATTTCGTTTTATTTTTTATCTGAGCAATTTATAGGTGTTTTTGCTACATACAGTTAAAGATTTAAATGTGCTAAGGAAAATTTCGCTGAAGCGAGAACTTTGACTATATTAAACAGTATTAACTTTCAGGAAGGAACAAAAGATGTGAAGAAAAAACGCAGCAGTGACGCGAATAACAGTGATGGTAACTATGCGTATTTCTTATGATTATAATTTGTCCTAGAAAAAAAATGAATCCTGTTAATCTTCCAGTTTTGTTATAGATTCACCTGTGGACGATTATGACAAGTTTAAGCCTTCGGAATACTACGGTTTCATTCATCTTCTTCGTTTGTTTGTTCGCTTCGGCCATATGTTAGGGTAAATTTTTTTTTTTGTTAGTGTTAACTAAACTTTGTATTATAATTTACTGATCATTTTTGTTTCAAATTATTGAGTATTATGACATCTATTAATATTGTTATCTCTGACCGAGATTTAGGAGATGCTAAGCTTATTTCATATTTGAGTATTCTATGCCTCTTATCATAGACGTCGAAAATGATTTTTTCTTGCCGAAGTCGATAACTAGGCACATAGAAGAGAAAAGCATCATTAAAAGTATATAATTTTTGAAGTCAGTTTGAAGTTTCTCTCACAGCAAACTTTTGCAGTCAGCTGGTGACACTGCAATAATAAAAGACATATTTTATGTTGATTTCTAGGTTTGAAACATGTTTCGGCATTATGTGAATGAGTAATTTCAACTGAAGCGCAAACATTAATATGAATGTATTGTACACTGTTTGGCAAACAGATACGTTTTACATTCCTTATCTATTTTTATCTTAAAGGATTTCGCAGTGTTTTCATATTACAGATTGACAAGTTGGAGTGATCGGACAATCGAAGCTATTGTGAATCATGTGCATAATTTTCTAAAATTCCTCGAAGTTAATCGCCACAAATTTTTTGATATTGAAACGGATTATGAAGTGGCACCACCAGAATATCAGCGACGTGTTTGGAGCTCATAGAAATGTTCTCATAATATTTTCTCTCTATATCCTTTTTTAATGTTCATTCAGCTTATTCATCACACAGTCATAGATCGCACTTTTTATGGGGATTATGAGGAATAGATTTAAATTTTTACAATTTGAGATGTTTGCCGAATAGGTTAACTTGCCTATCTCAAATGTTTTTCCCTAAAATTTGCAGAATTTCTTCTTTTTTTGTTTTCTCCATGGCTTATCATTCACAGTTATGGATGGCAATGATGACAGTGTTACTCTAACATATTGATAAGTTTGTAGCCAGTTATTAATGTCTATCTTTTTTTGTCAAATCAAAGTTTTCTTATCTTTCGCCGCTTCCCAAAAATTACGTAATCTATGAGTTTTCACATATCGATGTTTAATTCAAATGTCATTTCTGTTTAGGCACAAGCATTATTCAGCATTTGCTTTGATGTTTTTACCGTGCGATGTCAAAGCCTTTATTTTGTTATTGACTATTATACAGTACATCTGTTAATCTGACAAATTCTTTTTTTATTAGCCATTATTAGCATTTATTGGTGAGGTTTTAGCTCCCAATTAACATGCTTGACAAATATTTAGTTTTTCATGACTGATATACTCTGGCAAATACATTTCCATATTTTTATCTTCCGGAAATTGATTTTCTTTTAAAAACTATCAGCTTTTGCCCAAATTTACTTTTGAATGAATATTTTCGGTTACTGATGTTTTATTTTGCAGTTTTTGGCTTTATATGTGCTAACACCATCCATCTTCACTATATTTAGATTCACCAGATCTTGCTTTTAGATTGATTTGACTTTTAAATTTAAATCTCTTTTAGACAGTAATGTAACAAATCCCAGAACTTTCCCAACCAAATATTTCAATGTTTCAAGCGAAAATGCGAATAGTTGAGGGAGGCAATGTAATGTTTGGAAGGATTCCTTTTCCATAATTTTTATTGATATAACCAATCTATGAAAATGATTAGATTCCATGAATTAAATATATTTTACTATATGTTGCTTTGTTTCAATATCAATTTTGTCAGTTGTTCGGCTCTATGCATTGTTTCAAGTTGCCGTCCTTATTTTCAGTCATCTTTTTAAAATTATTATCTTGTGGTTATCAGTTAGCAAAGTTTTTGTTCGTTTTTTTGTTAAATACACGAGATCTGAATTTGTAATTTCGAGAAACTTTACTGTACTGCATGATTTTTATTTGACATTATTGGGAATTTTTATCTCGCTGATAATATAAAAAGGCATGTATTTTAATTCTTGTGTTCAGAACGTCTATATGTTTGTGCGCATAAATGTGCATCGTTTTATCAAGCGATTATCAATGATAATTTATATTAACAGCTAGATGTGATAGTAGTTCTTTAAATTTAACATCCAAGTTTGTGATCCAAATGTTGAAGATCACAAGATTTCATTATGTGTGTCCTATAGTTTATTTTTGTGATAATATGTTACTTATTTTTATGTACTTAACAAAAATGAATCGATAATCTTTTGATATAAGTCAGTTATTACAAGCTAGAGAATCTTACTGAATATGAAGCATTATCGAAACATATTTCGCATATATTTTTTTTTTTAATTGGAATTTAAGACTAGCGCTTTTACTTGGTCCAATTGAGGTAATGCGGTCAAACTTTTTTCTGAAAATTAAATAGTCATAGCATTGCATTTATTGGGAAAATGACGTTGAAGGTATGTACCTTTTCTCAAAGCTTAAATGCAAGAAATGATTAGTTTGCTGATGTTACCTTAATAATACAATGTTGTCCTAAAATAAAAAGCACGAATAGGCTATTTAGAAACATTTCCCTCTATGAGACTTGCATTTATTTTTCCGAAGATAATCAATATAGCCCTAAACATATGGATAGAAATGAGCAAAAACAATGTTGACTTAATGAACAGTATTGTTCCTCTTTGTAGCATTCTTATTTTACGTCATAATTGATGACTCTAATTAATGTAACATAATTCTCTTTTATCGACGATTAGGACCAAATAATTTTTTTGTTCTAGAATGTTGAGAAAAAAAAGGGAAACAAGGACATTCTAAAAGTGACGAGTAATATTTATATTTCTGATAGTTAAGGTTCAGATTTATTGATTGAAGAAGTACTAAAACTAACAATGAGAAGGCCAAGTTAAGAAGTAAAAGAAGGAAATGTATGAGACGATGATTGGGTTTGTTAAGGAATTCACAGATTACAGACTATGTATATATATGTAGTGTATGTAAATATATGTGTGTATTGATGAGTGTATGTGCATATTAAGCAAAGGATTAGCTTAAGTAATGCAACAAATATTGACTTCCTCTTAAAGATGTGAATGGATGGACATTTGTATAGGTTGATGCATTGATTATCGATCTGAGTAGATTTTGTGAAATGTTCATTGATTCTAAACATGATATATTTATCAATTTTGAATTGGATTTATGATATGTTTATCGATTTTCGACTAGACATAGGATATTTCATCGATTCTAAACATGATATATTTATCAATTTTGAATTGGAATTATAATATGTTTATCGATTCTCGATTAGACGCAGGATATTTTATTGATTTTGGACTAGATTTATGAGTCATATGATATGTTCATCGATTTCAAAGAAGGTTCGTGAAATATTCATTAGTCATGGGTATATATTTTTTCATTAAATAATTCGTTGACAGGAAAACATATCATAATTTATCACTCTATTTTTTTTTTTCTACAATCTTTTCTTATTCTACTATTTATTTTTAAAAAAGATTAGGGATTAGTTTGTTGAGAAAGAAGTATTGCTTTTTCCTTTTTGTAATAACAAAAATTATTGGTTTAAAGATGTTCTGTTTTTGTTTGATTAAATTTAAGTCATTATACTGTGATAAATCTTAAGTGATATAAGCGTTTATCATGACATGATGGATCGATGAAACATTGATTTGTGTTTTTTGGGGACACCAAACAGATCGGAAAAACGATTCCAAATTCTTTGATAATAATGGCCAGTTGATCCAAGCTGCTAACATTGATGAGAATTATCATTATAAATCAACTCTCTTAGGTATATATAGCAAATGGTCAGCAAATATAAACTGGTTGGCTGAATCATTCGGAATGCTTTTTGATAGTTTCGTTAATTGATCGAGCAAGACATTCTTTCAGTTCTGTTCTTTTAGTTTTAATAGAACGTTAAGGTTAGCTCAGATTAAGCACTGATATCGATCGGTCGAGAATAATTTCTGTGCTCATCATTATCTCTTCCATAGATTCTCTTTCGATAGATTGGTTGTCGTTGATTTTTGATGACGAAATGTTTGCATAGGTAGTCAATCAACCTGACGTAGGACGGGTCGATGATTTGAACCATGTCGTATTAATCTATGCTCTTTCATAAAGGTTTCCTGTAGATGTGAAACGAAGGAGAGGGGAAGAAAAAGGGGTGACAGGAAGGTTTTGCCATTCTTTTTTTCTTATTTTATTCTTATCGAATATACAAAAGATGTCATTCTCATATTTAGCTAAACGAAAAACCGTACAACTGATTAGAATTGAAATTTGAAAAAAATTTGACGATAAGATAATTAAGGAAGTAATTTTTATTTCCTCAAAGAGTAATGGTAATGATAATGCAATTAGGCAAGATGATGAATCATCCGTATTTCTCATAAAATTTATTTGTTGTAATTTTTCAGTTTATCGTTAATTTCTGATAAGTTTTGTATGCAGAAAATTTGAGAACGGATTTATTTGAACAGATGAGGAGATAGTTTTAATAAAACTTATAATTCGATAAAACTATTTTTAATTATTTGAACATTTATAATTTTAAAATTTCTGCAAATTTTGCATTTTTTTCCCTCGCAAATACTGCTGCATAATCTTGAATACAATATCTGAATGGGTGTATTAAGATTAAGATGGCATTTAATTTATGCAAATAATTATTTTTATTCTTCATTCCATCCATTACTACTACCGCTGTTTGTTTGCCTTTATTTCTTATTGACTCTGAAATTAATAAGAAAAAAAAAAGATCTAAATCTGTTACTATCAGTCATATTTCTCGTCCTTTTTAGCAATCGATACGATCATTTTTGTAAATGATAACAGACATAATTGAACATGCAAGAAACTAGCTATGGAGTAATTTTTCGAGAATACGACGATTATGTTCTAGACATAATTTTTCCATCTTCACTTAAAGTTCTGCAGGTAGCAAATATGAAGCAACATATTGGTAGAGAGGAGGAATAATAATAGATCTTTGGATTTCTTTATTGACTTAAAGCACTTTTATGGAGTGCTTTTTAATTATTTTATTATTGTAAATAATTAAAGCAATTTTTTCTCGGTTATTTTTCTTTGTTATTACTCTGTGAGAATCGCTAGAAGACTCGGTCATTGGTTGCTAATTTTGATTTATAATTAATACTTACTAATTGATATTTAGAATTTCATGATTTTTCTCCATCAGTTATGCTGAAAATTTTAGCTTTGGCTGATAGAAGTCACTGTTAAATGCATTAAGATTTGGATGAAATAGTCATGATTGGAGGAATAATTGTGATTGCTATCATATTCCAAAAAATTGATAGTTTGTAATCAGAACATATTATAAATGCTCGGAGTTATGAAGTGCTGAAAAGAATCTATCTGACAATAGCTTACAGCTTGAAATGCGTATAATACAAGTCAGATTGT